TGGGTTATACAGTTTAATAAATTATGTATTTGTTAGGGATTCACAAGGAAAAAACAGAGACCCACTCCTAAGACTAAGTTTCAAATATTTCAATAAAATAACAAATTGCATAATAACAGTGCTATAATTACTCCTTTTGTTTGGTTTCTTTGTAATTACTTTTAATAAATTACTCTGTCTTCCCCCATCACTCAAGTAAGTTGTCATCCAAAGGCACAGTAAGTACAACCCAGGACACAAAGCCACTCACAGACGGGGGGGGGGGGCTCCAGGGGAGGGTGGCTGGTGCCTCAAGAGCTGTGGCTTGGTAGAATCCATAACGCTTTTCTATGGAGATCAAGTATCAATGAAGCTATTATAAGAGATTACAGCTCTATAAATGCAGGATAGTCATGAAGGGCAGGAGCACTTTCCAAAAGAGGCAAGGGTATCCATGCCTGCGAAATCGCTCCACATAAATGCTACCTAAGCTTAAGACTATGGCTGTCCATGCCACCCATTTTGCTCCCATTTTGTTAACTGCCAAGTAATTCCCATACAGTGAAGGGGCCCTTGGCTCAGCACACCCGGAATTCATCTGGTGCCATTCTGCCAGGCTTTGTGGTTTGATGGCTCAGGAGTCAAGCACACAGTTGCCGTGTGCTATTGTGGGGGTTCAAGAAAAAGATAATTTTTACTAGTGTTAAATATTCTTTTCCAGAAATCATAAACCAAATGTAAAACACATCTTTGGCACAAAAAACAAACAGCAGTAAAGCACTTTTTAAAATAGTTTAAAATCTGTACCTACCTTTATCATGTTGAATATTTTAATATTATAATTATAATAAAAATCTTCTTAGAAGGCATAAACTTTTTAAAAAAGCAATGCATGTGGTAAAATGCATAAACCAAGCTGGGTTTTAAACATGATTTTTTAAATCTCCTATGAATTATCATTCATACTAAGATGATCATTGACTGCAGTTCTGAATCAAGTGTATGAAAAGAACAAATGAAATAAAAGTTGAGTGACAATGCTGTACAATTTAGGAAGATTATAAAAAAAAATAGTCCCAGAGTTTTTTTCCTCAAAGGCTGAGAAAAAAGAATTTATCATTTGACTCCAATCGAAATAGCCATCAAATACCATTAAGTCCACTTTTCCAAACCACCTTTCTAGGTATTTTTATGTTTCATTTTGCTATATCAAAGAAAATGTCACCAAATTCTAAGCAATTTGATGCCCAAGAGCATTGTTTTTTCAGATTCTGAAAGAAAAGAATATGAAGCTTAAAGGGTGCTTTTGCTGGAAACCACATGCACCGTGTGTTCTCTATGACTAATCGTAACAGAGGCCAGGCAACCGCACCCTCGCGGAGACCACGCACTTGGAAACCAGCACACATAAAGGAACACTTATTAACGACAATGGTCAGCCTTAATATTGTTGAATTTTCAATGTTTTAACAGTATATCAGTGCATATTTCTGACATCATCATATATTCTGATAACCAGAAATGGGTATTCTAAAATTTGTTCTCCATATATTATTAGATAATGCATAAAGTAGAAAGGGTGCTTCTTTTGAATCTGAAAAGTGGAATCTTCTTCCTTTAAAGGAATTATATGGCATTCATTTATTTTTCTCAAATATTCAATTTCAGAAAATATTATTCTACAGAATACCAATCAAAGAATGATTTAAAACCTTATTTTACATGCATATACTTATTTTAAAATATTGTATTGTTTTTTAATCTTTGAAAGTGATGTGTAATTTTTATTCTCTTTGAGTCAGTTAAAGATAAAAACAGACAAAAAATGTGGGTCCTTCCAAAGCCAATAGCCATTTAGTAAAATCTATTAACATTATTTTTAAAACTACACATTATACAACTCATTGTTGCAAACCCCATTGTTTAATCAGTCCTGCAGAACAGGCTGATCCATTTGTCCTAACTGTTCTTTGTGTAGTAGTTGCTCATGTTCCCCTTGCCTTTCTGTTGCACAAATTGTTCAACCTAAATAAAAGGAACTAAAAATAATGAAAAAGGAAGAATATCAGAATGTAAGGAGAAAGCACCTAAGGACCAGAAGCAAAACACGTGAGTTTTGTCAATTTAAAATTAAACAAAAAACAGTTTAAAGGAATTCAGTTGTTCCAGTGGAAAAGCACTAAAATATGAAGATAAAATGTAATGAAAATGTCACAAGTGATAGAAGATGGGTTAAGAGAATGGTGTATCTTCAGAAAGATAAGATATGAAAGTCTGTGAGGCAGCAAAAAGACAAAAGAGCTATGGGGGGGGGGCGGTGGGAAGGGGGGATGGGAATGATACAACACAACAGAACAGACGAGGAAGGGTCACAGCATTTTAAACCACTTCTCTGGGTGGTACATTTCAGTCACCCAGTGTACTTTATCTCATTATTCGTTATTTTAACCCACAGCTGAGCACAGAGCAAGTTTGTTTTGCTTCCCCCTCTGAGTTCTCTGAAAAACTCAACTAGTACAGTATTTCAAGTTACAGCGGGCTGTGCTTAGCGCCTTTAAGGGAGAATACCAACATCTCCTGTAAGATTACATTTTGTACATGTAATTCCCTGCCCAGTCCCAGTTCCTGACCCTTTCCTTGCACCATTCCTGTTTTCCTTCCTCAAGCAGGTCATAAGAATGCTTTCCAGAAGCCAGTAAATATCAGAGGGGAAAATGTTATGACTCTAGCAGAGTTGAATAAAAAATAGTTAACCAAATTCACTCAGGCACGCTGAATCTTGTGTGCGACCCGAAGATGCAGACAGAGACTAAGAGATGGAGGCTAAGGGTGGTGGTGTTGGGGAGAAACAGGGCAGGCAAAGAAACAAAGCAGCCAAATAAAGAAAACGGCTGGATTTAAAACGTACACATATACCAGAAAGGACTCAAACCCAGGCTCGTATGTTACAGTAATATAAAATGAATACTACAGAAAAGATCATTGTTTTCATGTGGTAGAAGAATATAGTGGATACATGAAAAAGGAGAAATCGACTAATCTATTTCACTTGTGGCATGGTAGACATTTAAAAAAATTGATTGCACTCCACAATAAGTTAACTACCTAGATTCCTAAACAGGTTCAAATTCTGGCATAAGGTTATTGCATGACCTCGGTTTGAATATTCATTACACACAGAATTCCATCTGTATTTTGGAGTAGACACTGGGGCAATCAGTAGACACACCTGGGCAGGGTAACCTCTGTGCCTTGGTACACTCCCTTTCACCTTGCCCTTGAAAATAGTGCATGCTTTGCCTCAGCAAGCTTCAAAACCTCTCCTGGGCATGGTTGAGGCAGACAGTGGGCAAGAGGTTCAGCTGCTGTACAGAGTCAGGAGGAAACACTGGAGATACCCATAATTATTTTCTGACAACTTCAAAAATTCCCATCCACCTCAAAAGCTAGTCAGCTTTAAGCTTTGTTCCTTGAAAGGCATTTCAGCAGGTTGGTCCCAAATTACTTCATTTTTGTAACCTCTGTAAGACTACTACTGTTTCCTAAGAAGAAAAGGCAAATATGCATGCCTTCTCCCCACAAATTCTAACACAGTATACTCTTTCAAGGCCAAAGTTCAGTGAAGAATTCCTACTTTTCTTGATAGAAATATTCCTCAGTTTCCCCCTACGCCTTTCTCATTCTCAGAAGGCAGTGGTCAGATCACGGGTGTCACATATATGGTTACATGGAGTTCAGATTTTGGTAGCGATGGTACCTAGTAATCCACAAAAATAATGGCTTCCCCTTCTTTTATACATGACACATTGTGTGCTGGGGTAATCCTATATTTGGCTTAAAAAATAATAGCTAGAAAATATTTATTTAGATACTAAGCATACTATGATTCTTTTTCCTCCTTTGTACATTTTATGTTCTCAGTCCTCAATTCACAAACATTTTTAAAAACATCAACCAACCACCACATGCTCAGAAAACTCAAGTCTATTCAAAATGACAACTTTTTCTATTACTGCTTAAATGAAGTGACATACTGAATCTCTAGCTACAGATGATTATAATCCTAGGCTACTTTCTTATCCAATTCTCTTAGAGTCATCCTTGTATCCTTAAATGCACTCTGGGACTTTGATATCACCTTCATTATGATGTGCTTTGTGCACATTCTCGGACACTGCAATGCCCATACTAAGGCAACACATCACAGAAGTTGGCAGCAATGCTATCAGCAAGAATTTGGCTTCAGAATCAGGAATGATTCATCATACATTCTAGCAGCAGAAAAACAACACACCGCTATTTTAATCCCTTGGTGCTATCAAAAGTCAAAAAACAGCACTTAAAATAATTTTAAAAAGCAACAAAAATGGTATCTGCTGTAACATTATTCACTTTGTAGAATTTTCAGTAAAAATCACTTAGAAAACAACAGACTACTTACCTTATTTCACAATATTTACCACAGTAACAAATCAAGCTTTAACTTAATACAATGTCAGGAGGAAATATGTAGGCCAAACTTCTGCCAAGTAACACTCAAATTCTAAATTCAGAAAAACAAATTTCTCATTTGCTTTACGAAAGTAATCCACTTTTTTCAGCCTCTCTCTCCATTTTTGAGAATACTCTGAAGCCTGAATGAGGGAGTGTGTTACCATGTCACAATCAAAGAAGCTCAATACTGTGGGTGATTTATTCAGAAGTCTCCCTCCTTTTTTAGGGATAACTTAACAATGCCATAAAAAATACTACTGGAATATGATAATGGAATCCACCAACGGGTATGTCCTGTTGCTCTACTTAATAGTCATGAAACAAATCTTATCACGACAACATTGTATGTTGATAATCATTAGGATTACCAGCCAATATTTCTATAGATCTAGCCACACAAATTCACTGTCCACTGTAAATTTAATTTAAACTTTAAAAAAAGTGCTACTCTTTTGTAACCAAGTCCTTTGGGGCAGACGGGGAGACTTGCCAAGAATTCCACCCAGTGCTCTTTCAGGGACCCCTACCTTTTCAAACACTTCTTCGGTCCCCCTTCGTTTCCGTTTTCGGGGTCTCCGGTTCAGTTGATTCCATTTCGCCACCTGAAGTTCAAAAACCACAGAGCATTTTAACAGGACCATAGGTCCTGCGGGCCACCCTTTAGCGTGAGAAACGCTCGACGTCCTGGCCACGCAACCTTCGCGGATTCACCTGGGGGAAACCAAAGGAGCCCGTCGGCACTAGCCAGGAAGCGTCGGCGTAGGGAACGTAAGGAGCCTAGGGACACGCAGATGTGTGGCCGGCTGAGGCCGTCACCTTCCACTAGCCGGTTCCTCCTCCGTCTTGGGCCCGCGTTGCCGCCCTTGTGCGGGGGTCGCACACGAAATATGGCCAGCCTACCCACAGGGGTCTCCCCGGGAGGAATGCGGCGCGGGACGCACCGCCCCTGAAGGGAGAAGACCGCAGGGACCGTGCCGCCCGCACTCACCTCTGCGTCCACTTGCCGCACAAGCCTGCACTCCCCCCCGGCCTGGAGCTCCGTCTGCAGTGGCTGCGGGGAAAGGGGACAATCAAGTTTACCCCAGGAGTAGCCCCAGCCTCCCTCCCTCGCGCCCCACCACCTCGGCGTTAAAACCCTAGACCTCGCCCGCCGTAGGTGAGACTGGGAGCTGGGGCGCAGGAGCCCGCGCCCAGGGACAGCCGACCGGCCCGCCCGGAGATAAACGGGCACTCAAGGCCCGCAACACCTAAAGCGAGGAGCGGGCGGCGGGCAGCGCGGGGCCGGAGCAGCGGCGCGGGCGGCAGGCGGGCACTGGGCGGGGCGGGGCCTGCCTTAAAGGTATAGGCGCTGCGACGCGCTCCCCGCAGGTCGCCCCCGCCCCCGTGCCAGCGATTTTATTGTTCTCTAGAAACATCTTTCGTCGTCGCGCGGATCAGGCCAGCGGCCGCGCTCCTGCACTGTCCCCGGCGCGGACTGCCCCGGGCGCGCAGATTTTACCTTCCCAGCCTTCACCCCTGTGGGCTTTGATTACCGGCGGAACGGTTTGTGGCTGCCTAGGGAGAACTTTTGCCCGCCCGGAGCAGAAGCGTCCTCACCCCAGACGCTAGTCTGAACTCGCTCCTCAGCTCAGAAACCTAAGTGTTCACATGGCCTTCGCGGAGGGAAAGGAACTTTCCTAATGGAGTTTTACCCAGGAATGGACTATATGTCATTAACAAGGCATTTTTCAGTGGCCCCCTCGTACTCCAAGGCGGTGGCAGGTGACCTCCCGGGGTTGGAAGCAAGGAGTACGTAAAAGGCGAGCCCCTCGCTCTCCCAGCGCTCCGCGGGAGCCAGTTCTTCCTAAGCAAAGCCGGCACCGCACTCGCCCTGCGCGTGAACCGCTAAGCGACTGGGGAGAATGTAAAAGGTAGACTAGTTTCTTAATTAGGAGGGAAGTTTGCGTTTAGTTTATTAAAGTATGTGGTGCCCCAAGTTTTTTCCTCCGACCCCCAAAGGCTTTCTTCAAATCCGCGTCAGAAATTCGCTGAACCAGAGTGGCTGCGAGCGCTTTGGGGAGAAGGGTCCAGTCGCACGCGTGTTTGCTGATCTTGACCACCCGTTTAACTTTTCGTATTTCTTTAAAGAAGAATCTGCCTTGCCCTCTCTTTATTGTTACTCTATCCTTCTTTTCGAGATCAAAAGCTTTAGATCAAAGCCAAGAACAAACTCACTACTTTAAATAGAAGCAACTTTGCCATGGACTATTTTACACAAAGAGGAGCTTCTTAATGGAGACGTTACAGTGGAACACTTTATTTTACTGCTTCATCCCATATTCACAACTGAACTACATAAAAAAATTGATGATGCACTTCCATTCCTAAAATAAACAACAGGCTTGCTCAAATGGGGGTTTACTGACTTTGTGTTTGTGTTTCTGGGAATGCAAAAAACAAAAACTATAGAGTTATGCACACATATTAACCATTTTGTACCCATTAGCTAAGTCCTATATGAATCCATGCTCATTTACTAAAGCTTTTTCAGTGTTATCAAATGTTTTTATGTATAATGTATAACCATCATATTCAAACTTTCTGCTGTAAAAATGCATAAAAATAGTTAATGCCTTGCAAATATCAAGTGCACTTATACATAGGTAGGTAAAACTTAAAAATGAAGTGAATTATGTAATTGCAGAGCTACTTAATTTTACATGGAAATAAAACTTTGACTATTTCAGCTTCCATGCTACTAATAACAGTTCCAGAATCAATAGACATCTATCACAGGCTGACATGTACCCACTAGAGTTGTTTTCCTTGGGAATTCACCATCCCTAAGAACTCTGATAGGAACAGTTGAATACTGATATACTGAACTAGTGCCCTGCCTAAATGGGCCTTTCTTAAGTATCCTCAGTTGGTTTATCAACAATTTAAAATGTGTAGTCTTTTAAGAAATAAAACCAAAATCTAAATTTCAACCATCCAGTAGTAGAAATAAAGATAATTATTGCAAATTAAACCACATACGGACTTCTATGAAAATCTGTTGCTACAGCTGGGTAGTTAGTACCTGAGGCTTTTCCCCCCTTACAGTGCTCATCTAGTTGTATTCCCAATCACACACACCATCATTCCTCATTCTGTAAATCCCAACAAGCCACTGGAAAGACCTTAAGAATAGAGGTTTAGGAACCCCATCTTGCTGCCACTGATAGTTTCCTTTCTTCCTAGCACCCAGCCCAAGGAGAACCTAATGATTTCTGGAGAAAGCTGAGCCAAGGAAAACATCCTACTGTCACTCTGTTTTTCTAATACTTTGAGTGAGCAGGGAAAGTTGTGGCCCATTCTCATTCTAATTGCTTCCTATTTTTTTTTGTTTCCTTTGTACTTCTGCCTTCCTACCCTACCTGCACAACACCTCCTCCACAGAGAAACACAAAGGATATTTACAAACGGAGTTGAGATGGTATCACTTTGCTCTGCCGGTGTTTCCTGCGCTTTGCCTGCAGGGCCTCTATTTTCTAATAAGTAGACTCTCTAATAAGTAGACGTATTAGAAAATAAGGAGGACTTATTTTCTAGTTCTGGTCTTAAACAACACTATTCCCTCCATAAAGGTCTTTCCTCATTGTCTAATCCAAGTTATGTCACCCCAATATACTTTCTGTTAGTATGCCATTTACTTCCTATAAAGTGCTCATCTTTTATAGCTATCTATAATTTATTTTTTCAATTAAGGGATTTTATTTTTTACAATAGTTAGAAAAATTTAGACAGAAGGCCCAGAGTTCCCATATGCCAACATAACACACTTTCTTTTATTACTCGCATCTTGCATTTTTGTGGGGCATTTGATAAACCATATCTGATATGTTATTATTAACTGAAGTCCAGAGTTTACATTAGGATTCATTCTTGTTCCATTATAACTATTTTAAAATTAATTTATTGAATGTCTATTTTCCTGACTAGTCTTTAAGATCCAGGAAGAAAGAGATCCTGTCTTTTGCTAATTGATTTTTATCCAATCACTAAAAACACTGCCTTGCACACAGGTGCTCAATAAATATGTTAAGTAACTGATTGTAAGGCTAAAGGCAGGAATGACTAAATGAACAGCATATGAAATTTCAAGGAGGGGAGATTTAAGATGAAGATTTTTCTAATTAACTCCTGTTTGTTTCTCCACTAAAATACCTTAACTTGTAAACCGCACAGAATTATGCATTTTTTGAAGAGAAAAACAACAGGATATCAGTTACACTGCCAGGTTACTTCTAAAATGATCTCTTTAAGTAAAAAGAAATGAGAAATAAAGATTACCAACTCTCTCATGTATGAATCACTAAAATTATATTCTAAAACAGTACTAGGAGCTGAATTTAATCTAGAATGAAATAGGAACTTATTGCATGACACTGGAAAAATTAATTCTTGTTGTGTTCAATATAACCTCAGTACATTTCTCCTTTTGTCTATCTCAATCTCCCATTCTTCACAGGCTGATCCCAAAGAAGGTAGGGTGTGGAGAAACCGGAGGAAGAAGACTTCAAAAAATGGAATTCTGTAGCTGGGAATGGGTACTCTAATAACTATTTCAGAGAATGTGATGAAGGTACTTTAAAGTTGTCTTTCAAAACAGATGTTTTCTGTTTGAATTATATCTTGAAAAATGCTTCATCCAGTAGAGAGGCAGATTTTGAAAGAAAGTTGTTGTAGGAAACTTTCTTGTCAAAGCAGTTTGGAATAGCTGAAGATAATTTCAGAGGCTAAGGGAAAATGCCATTGCTTTAAAATAAAAGCATTACTTTACCTAGTGCCTGGAGATTACTTTTGGAGGGAAAACCTTTTCTCTTTCTTCTGATTTGCTTTAGTGGAGAAGAAATGACTCCTTTCACTAGAAATGATAGTGATACCAATTTCATATTGTTCCTGTGGACATGTGCTTCTGCCTGGTGATGAGGTACCATCCAAGGAAGGGGAAGCAGCAGTACCTTCCTTCTCAACCAAAAGACCGAAGAGCGTCCAAAGGGGCCCCTTAATTAGACCAAACCACTTTGGGTGGCAAACGACACTTCCCTGAGAACAGGAGAGGGAAAATTGTCCACTATAAGAGGTGAAAAAAGTCTTTTAGTACCAAACAAGGTAGAGAGGTCCCAAAGCTTTGGCTGGCTTTAGGGGGCTCTAGATTCAACGTGCAGTCAGGTGAGTTAAAAAGTAAGAGTCTACACAGGCCTGAAAATAAAATCGAGTTTAGTTTAAGCTGCAAATAATAACAAGTAAGGATCAGAGAGCAAAGTTATCAAATGTTTAAAGCTTTAAATTTTGCTCTATTGTTTTAAAATGTAACATTCCATTATAACTTTTTATTGCTTTTACAAAATATTATATATAATTTGTGTTATTGCCCATGTTGCCTCTGTGTTAGACTGAACACTAAATTTCTTTCTGGAGAAGATTCTGGCTCTGTCAAATGGACCTCTTAGTGGAACTCTTTATAAAGCAGAATTTTCTAAAAAGGAAATCCATTACACATTTGCATTGCAGTGACCTGGCTGACAGAACCTCTTCCTCTCAGTAACCTTAAACCTGTCATCCCTATTGCTGGGAACCTTTTACAGAGCTTGCCCGAGGGATTATGGTTCTTCCATTTCTAGACATCCACCCCCAGCCCCACCCTGAATCTGATGAAGCATTAGCTGTCAGCTGTTGGATTCCTAGAGAAAAACACACCCACATTGCACGAAGTCTCTTCCCCATTCTCTGTACACATCAATTATTAGGAGGTTTACATATTTTTCTGATGTCCAAACTCCTAGCAGACATCCCCTCAAATTAAGAGCCCCTCAAAAATTAGGACAGACAACCACACAGCGGGGGCTGGCCTGCGTCTTACTGGTACTCCGTGAAATTCTTTTTAATGCATTACACTCTGGTAAGAAGCCATCAACCTTTATGGAGGTGCATTATAAGAAACAGCCCCATAAAAATCCATCACAATGTTTACCGTAAGGGTAGTTTCAGAGGGTTGTTTATTACATTAAGTAGTAGTTTTCTTTG